TTTTTTTCTCTCACAAGCCCAATCACAATACACTATTCACAATGTAATGCATCTTAATAAACCAATACAGGACAGTATATCCTCTCCCACTAACTAGATGGATGGGTGGATTGACAGAGCGATGGATGGCTAGTGGCGTAAAAGAATGTTTATCCCTCCCTCCACCCCTGCTCTCGGAAGGACAGTTCCTAAGTGCTTGTGGATTTTATGTTTACGGTGTTTTATAGGGCAGATCTTGAAGCCAAGAGCTGTAAAATGTTGTGAGAGGGAGGAGAGAGAGGACAGGGGGTGGAGGCAATGTTATTGTAAATCCAATCTTTATTGAGAACAACAGACAAACAGTCCTCCCCACTCCAGCCCACCTCTCCATCACTCTCCCTATTGACTGATTGAGTTCTCAAAGTTTCAAAGAATATGTATTTGTACGTTTTTGCTCCGTAAACGGTTGTTTAATTCTGACCTTCATAAGAGTCTAGCACACACAGGGGCAAACTATGGCCCTCAACGTGGTTTAATCCAGCCCACACGTCAATTATCAAAAAATGTTTTGTCATTCAATAGCTCTGTTATCACTCAGTAGCATCTAACGTGCCTCCAGCAAAATGTAATGAAGGATCCAAACCAAAATACCTGCACAACCTGCCCAGTATTTCACGCAGTTTACCCAATATGGCAACCATGAGCATGTTCTGTCTCTCTACTGAGAAAGGTGCCACCAAACATCTAACTACATGTTGGAGATTATCAATCTCCAGTGCTATATTCTGTTCAAAGGAAAGTCATTGCTTGGTGCTAATTACATCAGTGATACATTTTAATCAAACTCAGACCTGTTACTCAAACCTGGTTGCGGTGTATATCCAACACTGCACATTTTGTATGTCTCCCTAGTCTAAGATACCTGATTCAAGACATCGACTTTTTAGTAGAGATGTCTTGAGTATTAAGACCTTAAATGAGTATGTCAGATAAGCAAGACGTCCAAAATGTGTAGTCACTGGGGGACTCTAGGATCAGGAAACATGATACTTGTTAGATCCAGGCAACCACTCAGTAGCATCTAACTTAATATTAGATGTTTCATGACAGTTTTCTATAATATGCACACAGGAGCATGACACATTTCCCTTGATAGTGATTCCTCTGTGTACTGCAACTACTAAATAAAATT